TGTTCATAACCTTCAAAGCCGTTTTCCAGCAATTCCAAAAGGTAATTCCAATTACTAGTTCAAGTGATGATTATAATTCCGGTTTTCTTTCAGTTTACATACGGGTCTCCGAGATTATGCTATTACTAGTGCATTTCATGATTCGCGTTTTGATCCTGTTCGGAAAGAAGAAATTCCACATCTCCATTGTGGAGTGAGTCTTTTTGAAGATTCTTCATTCCTTTCATCTTACGGAAAGACTTTTGGCAATGTACACAGTTTTCATCTTAAAGGCATATGGCACTTAATTTGGTACTCGGTCTCAAATGCTAGCAGGGCTATGTAGCGGGATGGCGAAGAAACGAAGTGAGACGTAAAAAGACTGCAACGAAGTCCTCGTTCTTAATGAGCGAAAAGAGCAATTCCGAACGAGTTTCTCGTAAGCATCTTGCTAATAACCGCTACGGTAGATACGACTGCACGTATACTCATATATCATGCAACACCGCGGCCGCTTCATTTCAATCATTTCGCTTCACATTTTATTTCACAAATCAAGCAATACGACATCATATATAGTGTAGTTCACTGCGGACGGTTAGGCGTGTCAGGCGGGATGAGGGCTTGGTGCCAAACCCGTTCTCCACCAGTTGTTGAAGCGAGCAAGTGATATGACTGTATCATATCGTTCGTATTACTCGTTTTCTACCACTTTGTCGCATGCGCGCTTCAACAAGAAGGCAGAGAACGGCTTTGACGGGGTGACACACTCATACTGCCTGACACGCCCAACCGTCCGCAGCAAACTAGAGTGTACGGTCGTCCATGTGTGGGCGGGCAGGCGCGGTGGGTGTTTGGGTCGGAGTGTTTTTGGTAGGCCCTTATAAGGGTACCTTTCTTGGAAAAGGCGCTGCGCAGGGCCACGGAATTCCGTCCTGCCAGGCGTATTAATCCTACTCGCCTTAGGGACTTATCGTGCCAACTACCTTTGATGGGAGAAGGATTTCTTGTGAATGCACAAAAAATTCATAGATGAAATCAATGACAACACTTGCTGCAATATTGTTCTGCGCAGCGGTCCAATTGCGAACCGGGCATATGCAAAGATTCTTTCGAAAGTGGATGTCTACAGAGCGGTTGATTAGTATGGTCGCGCGGTTTCGGGCGGGCCGGGTTAATGCACCAGAAATACGATCTTTATTGGTTGTGCTGCCATTTTTCTGTTTTTTTTTCTGCTGCTACACTCATTTGTATTTCTATCCTTGTGGTTTGTTAAAATTTCAATTATCAATTCTCAGTCGAAGGCTATCGCGCTTGAGCGGCTATTCCGATACATTTGAGAACGACTAAAAGATTAAAAAAAACCAGCCGGCTTCGCCGGCTGACACCGGCGCGCCTCCTTCTGAGATACAGCACGGCTTCGTCGAGCAGGCGCGGCTCCGCCGCGCTTGCCTTATTCCACTCATTTCATTAGCCACCTAATATCAGGCTTTTCTTTAACCTGAACAGGTGGTCAACATTCCTTGACCAATAGCATCATACCTGCTACTTTCAACACTATTACAGTGAATGGAGTGGTGGCACGGAGCGTTGATGAAGTGGGCAGATGAGAGAAAAGCCGGGTATTAGTCGAGCATTTGATCATACGAATGCAGGTAAGCGCGACGCCCCGCAAAGCCGGGCCGTATCACATAGAGGTCTGGAGTGCCTGGAGTGCTCTGGAACCGTTTTGCGAATTTTTTAAATTTGGCTCCACCCACCTCGGGCACGCCCCGCCCACAACGTATGCCTCGCGCTTCTCAACAATGACCCCTCGATGACCTTAAACTACTTTTTCCCGGTGTCTGGAGTGCTCTGGAAGCGTTTTGCGAATTTTTTAAATTTGGCTCCACCCACCTTGGGGGCACGCCCCGCCCACAACGAATGCCTCGCGCTTCTCAACTAATAACCCCTCGCTGTTCTTAAACTACTTTTGAATCTGGAGTGCTCTGGAACCGTTTTGCGAATTTTTAAAATTTGGCTCCACCCACCTCTGGGCACGCCCCGCCCACAACGTATGCCTCGCGCTTCTCAACTAATAACCCCTCGCTGATCTTAAACTACTTTTTTGAATCTGGAGTGCTCTGGAACCGTTTTGCGAATTTTTAAATTTGGCTCCACCCACCTCTGGGCACGCCTCCGCCCACAACGTATGCCTCGCGCTTCTCAACTAATAACCCCTCGCTGTTCTTAAACTACTTTTGAATCTGGAGTGCTCTGGAACCGTTTTGCGAATTTTTAAATTTGGCTCCACCCACCTTGGGGCACGCTCCGCCCACAACGTATGCCCCGCGCTTCTCAACAATGACCCCTCGATGACCTTAAACTACTTTTTCCCGGTGTCTGGAGTGCTCTGGAACCGTTTTGCGAATTTTTAAATTTGGCTCCACCCACCTTGGGGCAGGCTCCGCCCACAACGAATGCCTCGCGCTTCTCAACCTTATGACCCCTCGATGACCTTAAACTACTTTTTCCCGGTGTCTGGAGTGCTCTGGAAGCGTTTTGCGAATTTTTTAAATTTGGCTCCACCCACTTTGGGGCACGCTCCGCCCACAGCGGGAGTGCCTCGCACATTCCTGCATGTGATCACTTGGGGGCCATAATCCACTTTTTTTGCGCCATCTGTAGTGCTTTAGCACCAAATTACGGTTTTTTACAATGGTACCTCGGGTTCAAATGCACGCCCCGCCCACTGTGGGCGGGCCTTAGTACTCCGCAAACATGGTGGACTCTTGACAGATGTTCATCTTCGTCATGGAGTTTTCTGCGACCTCTAAACATTTTCGGGAACCGAGTTACCTACCTTTATGGAAAGCGCCGCCCATCTCAAGCACGCCCCGCCCATTTCGGGTGTGTTTCCTCCATTTGCTCCGCCAACCCAATGCTAGCCTTATTCTACTTTTTCCCATCTCCGGGTTGCCTTTTAGCCGAGTTATAGCTTTTTTTCAGTGACACGGGAAGCACCGCCCATCTCAAGAACGCCCCGCCCATTTCGGGTGTGTCTCCTATGTTTGGTCGGTCAGGCCTTTGTTAACTTTACTGCACTGTTTCCTCATCACGGGACTGCTCTGGGACCGAGTTATGACCTTTTTCAGTGACATCGCTAAATTTGGACGCACGCCCCGCCCACTGTGGGCGGGGCTTACCATGGGTCATAAGTGCTATTTAGGTTTTGTCCCATGCTCTATCCATCCCCACCCTGACCCGACCCCGCCAAGCTCTTCTTCAGGTGCTATGAATTTCGTGACAGACAGACAGACACACACACACACACACACACACACACACACACACACACACACACACACACACACACACACACACACACACACACACACACACACACACGGACTTAGCCGATTATATTAGTAGGATGCTAGAAGAAAAAATACCCTCAGTGTAAAGCGATACCCCTATTCGGTCAGCTCTAAAAGGATTTGAAAACCTATCAAGAATAGGATTGAACCAATTGCCAAACCAGAAGATTATTGATGAAATCGCTTCATTGGTCAACGTTTCCAGCAGATCATCGTATCCGAGACCTGAAAAAAGCTTGCAGCCCTCATTTGCGACTTACAAGATCAAGCGCCTCATCATACTCTGCTAATTGCAACATATCCGAAGACCCCCGAACAGGGAACCTCCTCGTAAAGCAGCCAGCGTTCTGTGTTGCCTTGAGCATGATATCTATAGGTGAATCTTACAATTGATCAATCGAGCGTTCAATCCTTAGTGGAACCCGAAAGCTTCGTAGTTGCTGTCTGTACCACAAGAATGCTGAGTTGTGGGCAAAAGTCGTGCCCCAGGCGGGAGTCGAACCCGCACCTCACGCTTTCCGGGCGAGTGCGCTATCCGTTACGCCACCAGGGCCGCTTTTACCCTCTCAGCTTAACGGCTTATGCCGTATGCTGTCTGTGCCGTATCCAGTTTTTGACCCCATGAAGCTGAGGCGAATTAACTGAAGAAATGAAAAAGACTTGCTGGAAATGGATGCAGTGCGCCGCGCAGAAGATTTTCTCTAATCCGGAGACAGAATTACTCAGAAGCAAGCTCATATGTCACAGAAGGTTGGACATTTGGTGAAATCAATACTTGAACTTGATTTTCCCTTGTTGTTCAGTACGCTGAGTGAGCTTTCAAAGCAGGTGAAGTTGGTGTCTTCGCCTGAGGGTTTCTGTTCGGGGCTCTTGAGATGTAATGCATTTAGCCTAGTATGATGGGATGTTTTATCGGAAACCTGTTTCCGTTGACTATTTGCTTCAAACTCATACCGACCTATGGAGATAGTCCACGACAATAACCCTACAGTAGGACTGTACTACGCCCATTGAGCGAGGGTAGCCATCGCTTACTCGAATCCTCGATTGCGCCGTGTTTGAAGAGAAAGAGTCAATACGCCGAGTTTGAATCTCCTACGCTTTCTGTGGTGACCTATTTTGTACGGCATTGTGGAGTAGTCAAAAATGGGAAACAACACCGTGTTATTCTAGAGTCTGTGCTCTACATGCTTTGGACTTTTGAGCAGGTCAGCGACCGGGGGGGGGGGCAATTGCACTTTTGCCGTTTCCTATAGACATGGCGATCCACCCAGACAGCTATATCCTGGGCTTACAAGAGTTGACGGGTTTTACTAGGTGGCTCATTGAGCATGGTCCAGCTTCACAGGAGTTTACAGGTTTCCTCAGAGTGAGACTTGCAAACCGGAATTAGTGAAGTAGCGAGAGTGCAAAAATGCCCCTTCGTCGCCGAATTGCCCCGACTTTTTCTTTTCTTCTTTGAGTCAAAGAAGCCTCAATAAAAGGAGTTTCTCAGGGAATGGTGGCAGTTTCGCACGCTCCCATAATTATCGCACACATTGTATATCGGCCATCTGCATTTATTGCAAGCGATTGCCAAAACAGATGATCCTCGGAAGAAATTATAAAAGCATACTCTTCAGGTATCCCTATTAATCAAATTTGAATCTGCTCACGATTACATGGACTGGACAATTGGCATGCATGGAATACGGATTCATTTCATGGACGGGAGTGTTCGTAGAGACGCCGTTTATTTGCCGGAGGTCGCTTACGAACAGGGTATTTTAGTAATTGTTCATGCTTTTTCCATCTCGTTGAATACACTAGAATTGAAGTTGTTCAACAATTTCACTTAAAGGCTGGGACCATTTGGAAACAATCAACAATCTCATTGAAAAAGGTGGATATCGGGGACGTATAGATGAAGGATTCCGACTATCGTTGCAAGTGACACGATTTCAGTCAAGTAAAATAATGATCTCCTATGATGTGAGTTTGGTTTCTCTTTGTCATGGTCTGGCTGAAGCAATTCGTTGGAGCGTTGTTTCAAGAGATATAAAATCAGTCCACCCGCAGCCTTTTCGCCATTGGTTGTTCCTTTTCTTAATGGATCACGAGCGGATCACTATTGGTAAATGAGAAGCTGGAGGCGGGCTCATTCCGTCCCTTCTGAGGCAGCGTTCAGACATCGCGACGGCAGCGCTTCGGCCGCGCGTTTGACCCGATCGATATGCATGCTTTCGACAGCGTCGATCGCGTGGCGCGACTGAAGCGCTGCCGTCGCGAGGTCTGAACGCTGCCTGACACCACTCAGACTTAATTGCGACCGTATCAACTGGAATCTGTTTACCATTAGATAATTACACAGGCATTGCGCTTAGTTTAGCTTTCAGTTTTATTGCTCATTTGCTTAAAGGCAGTGGGCACGACAGCTGAGGGGGGCGATTTCTGTCAACGTCATTGGTGGAAGGGCTGAGTGGGGTGTGATCAAACTCCTTCTCGCGGCCCTTTAACCAATGACGTAGGTACTAATCGCCCGCCCCCAGCCATCGTGCCCATTGACTTCGAGTCGACTACGTTCTTGTTCTCTTGTTCATTTCCTGCAATCTGTTGTATTTCAGGACTACGTGCGGTATAAACGCACGGCTTTGAAGTGATCTCGCCTTAGTATGAACTGCCTCACTATTGCACTGACCGACAGAACTAACCATTCTTTATGTGACTACATTGATTTATATATATGTACATTGAATGTGTATTATTTATTACAGAAAGGGGAGTGGTGGATTGATTGTCTTCCCGTGTTTTTCCTCATTTTTCGTTTCATCTACTTTGCCATGCTGTGATTTTTTTATTACTTCGTGCTCGACGACCTTCGATTGTTTGTAGAAGGTCATACTCTATGACGACTTTTATACTTCCTCATCAGGCCGCTGTGCGTAAAAGGGATCTATGGATAGAATTGTACTTCAAGGCAGGGTCTTGTAGCTTTCCATCCTGATTTTATGCAGAAATGATTGATAATGGATGTTTTTTTGTATTGTCTTGTACACATATCGAGCAATTCTGCGGACGCTGCCAGCATCATGAATGCAGCTATAATTCATCAAGATTTTTGCCACTTTTCGAATTCCTTTGCATAGAAACGAGCCATTTGATAGGCACTAATCTTCTTCACAATTTTATTTCTGATTAGGTAGCATGGACGTGACCAACATCTGAAAGTCTCAAGAATTTCGAGATTATGAAGTTGTTATGCTGGGGTAGTGTAAAGATGTCGAGGATGTAAGGTTGAGCAAGTGGTAGGCGTTTGAACAGGAAGAGGGGGGGGAAGTATGGCGGAGAGTCCGAGGTGACGAGGCCCGTTATGACTTGAGGAATGATCAAGATCACAGGACTCATGTAGGCAAGCGAGCTCAGTCAAGAACAGAATCGATACAATTCAACTATGTAACTGAGTACAAAAACGGTATACCAGCACTTTATAGCACTGTGGAGCACTGTGATTCAAAAAATAATATGAAGTTGGCTGGGCTGCAAGTACAACCAGTTAGAGAAAAACGTGGTTCCAGTAAGAGATCTAATGGTAAGCACATGTACTAGAAGGTACCCACTTTCATCGACTTAAACAAAGAAAGGCTTTAACTCCGTAGAGACAGAAGCGGTTATCGGAGCCTTGCGCAACAATGGTGTTTCTGCTCACACCAGGATTCTTCGTGAGCTCAACTTCACGAACAGGGTCTCACCATTGTACAAGGAGGTCATCATCGACGTGAAGAGGGGGGTCCGACAGGGCGACATCATCTTGCCCAAACTCTTCAGCGCCTCTGTCGACAACTTCATGCGTGTGTGAAGATCGACGGCTGGTCGCTAGAACCGCTTCGCTTTGCTGACTATATACATTGCGCTGATAACACCAAGTATCAAGCAAACAAAGCGATGCAGGCTGGTTTCGATTGCGTTTGCTGTTCATGAAATCCTTCGAGCGTGTGTGGAAAAATGGGTTTGCAGTTAGATCTTAGGAAGACGATGTTCATGAAGAACCAACTGGCTTATGATGTCTCATTTTCGCTCACATCTGAAAATGCTCTGGCTATGTACTTGGGTCAGGAAATCAATATGATGGATAACCGGAACTGCTGAGAGAGCGAAATCGGCGCTCTGTACTCCGTCAACGATCGAAGATCAGAGACGCCGCCGCATTTGCCAAGGTTTCGAAGATCAGGTGGGCCGGGCACGTCATGCGTTTCGAGGACGACCGCTGGACCAGAGCGATCACCGACTGGATTCCACGGGATGTCAAGCGAACACCTGGACCACTACTTTCGCCATGGTCGGCCTTCAAGTGATGAAACGCTCTCAACGGTACGATGTTCATCGTGTCCCTCGAGCACAGAGAACTCAGTGGGCAATTCTAGCGCTTTGCAGAGACGAATGGAGACATTACTGACGCCCGCTTGAGCAACTCGATAATCAACCAGAGCACAGGTGATAAGGTATAG